GACCAAGCGTGACCAAGCGTGACCAAGCGTGACCAAGCGTGACCAAGCGTGACCAAGCGTGACCAAGCAAGACCAAGCGTGACCAAGCGTGACCAAGCAAGACCAAGCGTGCCCAAGTGTGACCAAGCGTGACCAAGCGTGACCAAGCGTGACCAAGCGTGACCAAGCGTGACCAAGCGTGACTAAGCGTGACCAAGCGTGACCAAGCGTGACCAAGTGTGACCAAGCGTGACCATGTGTGATCAAGCGTCACCAAACGTGACCAAGTGATGAGGTTCTATCGACCTTCAGCTGAGGTTCTATCGACTCCCTCCAGGTGATGAGGTTCCTTCGACCTTGCAGTGGTACGACGGAGATCCGGTCCGGCGAGAACTTGAGGTAGCCATACGCTAGTGCAATGCTGCCCGTCGTCACATGCGTCGTCGCCGAGAGCCCTCCACCGTTTCGTAGAGGAGATCGACGTCGACCATCGATGTCGGCACATGAGATGCCTGCAGCCGCCGTCAACTGCTGCACTCGTGCCTGACTCCTGTCGACGCCACCGTCGACCTTGATCACCCCTCTATGCTTCGTGTCGTCGTTGCCGCTGACTCGTGCACCACCGTCGACCTCGTCGTCAACGCCTCCTTCGTTTCGTACCGGACGAGGTGATGCAGGACGGGAAGGGTGCTCCGTCGCCCACTGCGCCCGGATGCCAAACTAGACAATCGCCAAGGGGACCTTCCTGTACTCGCCATCCTCAATGCGTTTCCGCGCATCAGCCAAACGTGTCTCCAAGGTGTCCTCTACCGCGCCGGCCGTTGGCAGGGTAGGCGTCATGGTTGCACGTGCTGCCGGCCTACGAACGACTTAGTAGGTGCAAAAGTCGGCTCTTATCTGAAGGTAATTTGCGGGGCCGTCCACGCTCACCGCACCATGCGGAGAATCACTCTACAAAGTAGTGAGCTACACTACGGGGGGGAGGGGGGGGGGTGGCACGAACTACTAGGAGTGATCGTAGTTTTGCTTAGTTTCCTTAGCGCTTGCACGTTCACATGAGAAATCGACAAGAGTTTCCACAAGGCAAATTGCATTACAGAATGATTGAACAAGCAATAACAAAAAATGACTACATCAGGCACCTAAAAACTCTGTAGCTAGCCTGGTTGACCGCCAGCACAGCTTGGTCGACCGCCTGCCATCGTTGCGCAGAGGAGCCGCGCCAGCACTGCAGAAAGGCGACCTGCCAACACAGCAGGTCGACGGCGTGCCAACGCTGCTGCAGAGCGGCTGTCCAGCGTTGCACCCGTGGATGGCAGCAGTGCGCATGCTCGCAGGTGCGCGCAGACGATTGGTCCGACTTGCATCGTTGTGTATCCGTCGGCTGCTGTCTGCGCCTGACGAGCCACATCGACTTCGAGATACCAGCCCGAAGTCGACTTCGTCACCGCGACCTCGACGACGTTCGCGTGCCTCCGCAGAACTCGCCGAGCAGGTTTCCTGGTCGACCTGGACACCACCAGATGCACAGATCGACCACCAGGTGTCTCTGGTCGACCACCAAGTGCTCTGGTCGACCACAGCTCCCGTCGAGCAACACCATGGTCGACGGACCCCTCCGTTGACTAGCACTGTCAGCTGTTGTCGCCGAGCTCCCCTCGTCGACAGCTGCTCACTTGTCAGGTCGACGGACTACTCCGTCGACCTCCCCGTCGAACTGCTCCTCCTGGTCGACGACGGCCCACCTGTCGACCAGCCCAGTCAGTTGCAGCTGTCGAGCTCCCTCGTCGAAGGCTCCAGCCCCGTGACAGGCCTGTGCAGGTCGACGACCACTTCATCGTCCTGCCCCGCAAAAGAAGGCCGTAGAGCACCCCTAGTCGACGTTAAGACCACAGTGATCCCTGCAGCTCGAAGAAACCCGTCGAGCAGCTCCCTCACTGCGAACAGTCGGCTGCTTCTCCCGTACATCCGACCAAGTCGTCGGCGTTGCCCAAGCGACGGCGGGGCCTGTTGGCCACGCTTGGCCAAGTGTGACCAAGCGCGACCAAGTGTGACCAAGTGTGACCAAGCGTGACCAAGCGTGACCAAGCGTGACCAAGCGTGACCAAGCGTGACCAAGCGTGACCAAACGTGACCAAGCGTGACCATGTGTGACCAAGTGTAACCAAGCATGCCCAAGCGTGAACAAGTGTGACCAAGCGTGACCAAATGTGACTAAGCGTGAACAAGTGTGACCAAGCGTGACCAAATGTGACTAAGCGTGACCGACCAATTGTGACCAAGTGTGACCAAGCGTGACCAAGTGTGACCAAGTGTAACCAAGCGTGCCCAAGTGTGACCAATCGTGACCAAGCGTGACCAAGTGTGACCAAGCGTGAGCAAGTGTGACCAAGAGTGCCCAAGTGTAACCAAGTTTGACCAAGTGTGACCAAGCATACCCAAGTGTGACGAAGCGTGACCAAGTGTGACCAAGTATGACCAAGTCCCAAGTGTGACTAAGCGTGCCCAATTGTGACCAAACGTGCTCAAGTGTGACCAAGCGTGACCAAGCGTGACCAAGCGTGACCAAATGTGACCAAGCGTGACCAAGGGTGACCAAGCGTGACCAAGCGTGACCAAGCGTGACCAAGCGTGACCAAGTGTGACCAAGTGTGACCAAGTGTGACCAAGCGTGACCAAGCGTGACCAAGTGTGACAAAGCGTGCCCAAGTGTGACCAAGCGTGACCAAGCGTGACCAAGTGTGACCAAGCGTGACCAAGTGTGACCAAACGTGACCAAGTGTGACCAAGCGTGTCCAAGCGCGACCAAGCGTGATCAAGAGTGAGCAAGAGTGACCAAGCGTGATCAAGTGTGACCAAGCGTGATCAAGTGTGACCAAGCGTGACCCAGCGTGACCAAGCGTGACCACGAGTGACCAAGCGTGCCCTAGTGTGACCAAACGTGACCAAGGGTGACCAAGCGTAACCAAGTGTAACTAAGCGTGCCCAAATGTGACAAAGCGTGCCCAAATGTGACCAAGCGTGACCAAGCGTGACCAAGTGTGACCAAGCGTGACCAAGCGTGACCAAGCTTGACCAAGCGTGACCAAGCGTGACCAAGCGTGACCAAGCGTGACCAAGCGTGACCATGTGCGACCAAGTGTGACCAAGTGTGACCAAGTGTGACTAAGCGTGACCGACCAATCGTGACCAAGCGTGACCAAGGGTGACCAAGCGTAACCAAGTGTAACTAAGCGTGCCCAAATGTGACAAAGCGTGCCCAAATGTGACCAAGCGTGACCAAGCGTGACCAAGTGTGACCAAGTGTGACCAAGTGTGACCAAGCGTGACCAAGCGTGACCAAGTGTGACAAAGCGTGCCCAAGTGTGACCAAGCGTGACCAAGCGTGACCAAGTGTGACCAAGCGTGACCAAGTGTGACCAAACGTGACCAAGTGTGACCAAGCGTGTCCAAGCGCGACCAAGCGTGATCAAGCGTGAGCAAGAGTGACCAAGCGTGATCAAGTGTGACCAAGCGTGATCAAGTGTGACCAAGCGTGACCCAGCGTGACCAAGCGTGACCACGAGTGACCAAGCGTGCCCTAGTGTGACCAAACGTGACCAAGGGTGACCAAGCGTAACCAAGTGTAACTAAGCGTGCCCAAATGTGACAAAGCGTGCCCAAATGTGACCAAGCGTGACCAAGCGTGACCAAGTGTGACCAAGCGTGACCAAGCGTGACCAAGCGTGACCAAGCGTGACCAAGCGTGACCAAGCGTGACCAAGCGTGACCAAGCGTGACCATGTGCGACCAAGTGTGACCAAGCGTGACCAAGTGTGACTAAGCGTGACCGACCAATCGTGACCAAGCGTGACCAAGCGTGACCAAGTGTGACCAAGCTATACCAAGTGTGACCAAGCGTGACCATCTGTGACCAAGCTATACCAAGTGTGACCAAGCGTGACCAAGTGTGATTAAGCGTGACCGACCAATTGTGACCAAGTTTGACCAAGCGTGACCAAGTGTGCCCAAGTGTGACCAAGCGTGACCAAGCGTGACCAAGCGTGACCATGTGTGACCAAGTGTGACCAAGCGTGACCAAGTATGACCAAGCGTGACCAAGCGTGACCAAGTGTGATTAAGCGTGACTGACCAATCGTGACCAAGTGTGACCAAGCGTGACCAAGTGTGCCCAAGTGTGACCAAGCGTGACCAAGTGTGACCAAGCTTGACCATGTGTGACCAAGTGTGACCAAGCGTGACCAAGTGTGACTAAGCTAGACCGACCAATCGTGACCAAGCATGACCAAGCTATACCAAGTGTGACCAAGCGTGCCCAAGTATGACCAAGCATGAACAACTGTGACCAAGCGTGCCCAAGTGTGATCACGCGTGAGCAAGTGTAACCTAGTGTGACCAAGCGTGACCAAGTGTGATCAAGCGTGCTCAAGTGTGACCAAGCATTGTGATTGTTAAATGCTTTTCACTGCGCCTAAAGGTTTCATGTGCTTTTTCGTAAAAAACAGCCGAAATCATAGGCGCCGAACTTTTCATTGCGCACGAACCAAGCCAAAAGGGTTCTAATAGGTGTTTTTGAACATGAGCCACTCGAATATGAAATAACATTCAGGTTATTGAATGTTTTTCCTTGCGCCTATAGGGATTCATACGGTTCCCAAACATTTGTCGACAAAAACAGAAAAAATCATAGGCACCGAACTTTTCTATGTGCAAGAACCAAGTCAAAAGGGTACTTATAGGTGTACTTGGAGGGGAGTGTTTGGGCTGGGAGTATGAAAACGATCGGAACGGGAGGTATCGAGGATGAGCCAAGGATGAAAGGACAGACATGGAAGGACGAACAATCTGTGCAACTACACATGAATCAATGGAGGTTGGTATAGACATGGAGGGGATAGATTCGCTAGTTACTTTTAGTTCGTCAAAATCGCCTGAAGAAGTAAAAGCGCCCACCACCACTCCCGCTGCCCTGGCTGTAGCACCTTCGAAGACATTTCACATTATATAGATTAGTCGATTCTTTAGGGAACTGGCATAAACGTTACCTTTGGTTCGTCAATATCGCCCGAACGAGTCAAAGCGCCCACCACCACCCCAGCTGCCCCGGCTTTAGCACATTCTTTAATGTCACACTCCATCGCCTAGATGCATACGGGAATGAGATAGTGGCAGAGGTACAATTGCGTGAACGTGTATACTCCCGATTCTGTTACAACCCATGACACCTTTTGAGTCGACTAAAACACAATTATGAGTTCAGCATGGCATGTTAGAGAGAGTGTTTCGAGCGAGTGGGCGAGCGAGTGAGCGAGTGAGTGAGTGAGTGAGTGAGAGAGTGAATGAGTGCGTGAGTGAATGAGTGTGTGAGTGAGTGAGTGCGTGAGAACAATGAAAGCAAGAGCTTACGGGAGGAGCGAACCTTCATCTCTTCTTCGCTAAAGACAAAATCGCCCGCCCGAGGTCGGATAAGCACGTGCACGGGAATGGGAATGGCCTGTACAACTGCCGTCACCACTGGGGATAGGGTAGGCGTGGGGTGGTGTGGGAATGGCACATGCATGACATTGGGGATGGGGTGGGGATGGGGATGGGAATGGGAAAGGAGGAAAGAGAGAGAAACAAAAATGATGGTAATGGGAATAGCCTGCACAACTGCCGTCACCACTTTTGGCACATGCACGACATTTGGGATGGGGTGGGGGGGGGGATGGGATGCGGTAGGTATGGGGTGGGCATAGGGTGGGGATGGGGTGGGGTGGGGATGGGATGCTGTAGGTATTGGGTTGGAACGGGGTGGGGATGGGATGGGTATGGGAAAGGAGGAAGGGGATAAACAGACATGGAGCGGAATGGGGATTGCCTAAACAACTGCCGTCACCACCTTTGGCAGATGCATGAAGCTGGGAGGAGGAAAAATGAAAAGGAAAAAACGCCCACTCACAGCCTATACTGGGAGTGACCCCTCCTTCCACGAGACCTGAGCACAGCTCCACTCGATGGGCGCCACCTGGCAAGCAGGGATTGGATGGTAACGTGAGGGGGAGGCTGCAGAGGTAAGGGTGGTTATTCAAACTAGAACTTGGCAGCATGGCAACAGCAGCAGCAGCAGCAGCAGCAGCAGCAGCAGCAGCAGCAGCAGCAGCAGCAGCAGCAGCAGCAGCAGCAGCAGCAGCAGCAGCAGCAGCAGCAGCAGCAGCATTAGTGAGCAGATTCGGCAGAATTTGACAGAATTCGGCGAAAGTTAACAGAATTTGGCAGAATTCTGCAGAACGCCTACCTTTATGAGCGGCGATTGCGGAGGCTACCGTTTCGATGCATATCTCTAGCCGTACGCTCATCACGACTGGCGAGGCGAAAGGAGGCGAAACGTGGCGAAGGGAGGCGAGATGAGGCGAAGAGAGGCGAGACGAGACGAAGGGAGTCGAGACGAGACGAGACGAGGAGAAACGAAGTGAGGCGAGGCGAGTAAAGGCGAGAGGAGAAGTGAAGACGACACGAGACGAAAAGAGGAAGAGACACGTTCGCCTGGTTACTTGTACGAATTCGGAGGCGCCTCGAAACACATATCCTAGGCAAATTAGTCGCAGCGGGGAAGTTCAGTAAGGTGCGACATATGATGTGTCAATCGAAAACATGCAGTAGCCACTGGATTGATGTGATCGACAATCACCTTAGAACGAGGATACGGGCGTACAGATCGTACAAGAACCCGCCAAATACAGTACTTGCCTGGATGTCTGTTCATGCCACATGGCTGGCGATTAATGGTCAGAAGTTGCCTGCGCAGATGAAACAGCGCAGCATGAAACGCGAGACGAAGTCGTACAACAATGAAAGTGGTGGTGAAGTTTCCGAACGACAGCCCAGCAGCGACCAAATTGCACCAGTCGCTGTCAAATTTCCTGGGTGTCATGTCATCCCTGGCGAAGTGCGATCGCAGGAGGCGTTCGCGAATAAAAGGTAAAGCATTGCACTCCTGCATAACGTGGCACACCTAGACAAAACATGTACTAACACCTGAACACAATACTAAAACGAAAGCACCATTCCCAGGAGACATTCAGCCTTTCGCGATCGTCGCATACGAAGACTACGCCCTTCGTGCACCCTGTCACAGCTTTCGTTACCCAGCGCGTTCTTCGCCTGTCTATTCCGCGCCAATTCCACCCTCCCATCTTTTCTCCTCCTGTTTCTGGTGCTGTGCATGTCCTGTCATTTCTTTGCTAATGCTAATACTAACTTGGTGAAAATTCACACACAGCGCGTGCTGCGTTTTAGCTCTTCGCCCCCTGTAGACGCGCCGTCTAAGTAAGCTAGAGTCAAGGAGAAACAGCGAGTCCCAGAACAAGTTTGAGGCACAGGAAACAACCAGACGCGCAGCAGGGCGATCAGCAGGAAATCAGCAGGCGGTCAGTAGGCGATCAACCAGGCGACTCGCGTCACTGTATCATCAGCCGCCATGATGCACATGACCTTCTACTGGGGCGTGGAGGCCACCATCCTCTTCTCCTCCTGGCACACGCGTACGCTCCCGCAGTACTGCCTCGCTATCGCGCTTGTCGCGTTCGCCAGTATCGCGTACGAGGGCCTTAACTCTCTGCGCGTCAACGTGGCAGCGGGAAAGCTCGCGCGGGCGAGCGCTGCTACCATCGAATCCACGAGCACACCACTGTAAGAGCGTCTCGCAGTTTGTCCTCGCCACCCACTCATTTACCCTCAGTGACCCGTCAGGAAGAGCCTGACAGTGTTGAAGCTCTCATTAACGAGCTCTAACTTCTCCCATGTGATTTCCGTGTCGTTGATTTATGGCGTTTTGATTCAGCCGGTTACCATTGAGCCCCCTTAATTATTTATATTTTGAGACTTCAAAAAAGGGCTATCCCCCGCTTGTTCAAGTTCCCATAGATTGACCTTGCACTAAGATTCTCTTCCTTTCCCTCCCACTTCAGGCTTGCTGGAACCTCCGCTCCTCCAGCTCGGCTTTCCTGGGCAGACAAGCTACCTCTCTCCCTGCTCTACATTGCCACGTCTTCTCTGGCCTACCTCCTCATGCTAACCGCCATGTCCTTCAATGGAGGGATCTTCATTGCTATTGTTGTTGGGCTAGGTGTGGGCCATTTTATGTTTGGATTAAATAGGGCTAGTCTTGCATCTCAGGCCAATGCGGAGTCATGCTGTGCATAGTGATGTTGATGTTCATGATGTAAATGAAAGCACCAAATGATTGACTATGGCACACATTCAGGCATGCCTGCCAGCCAATTTTCTCAACGAAAAACCCTTTTCAGTATCAGGGCATTTAAAAAATGCTCCACGTAGACACTCAAATGTGCTCAGTATAGGGTGGGAACTATCAGGACATGTTCGTTCCAACTACTAGTGTCCCCATTTGATGTACTTAAATACCGTTCGAACGCATAAATATTTGTCAGCCAGACTGAAAACAGTCTTGAAAAACACTTGTGACAAGTTGAGGGATAGGATGAAAAATACTTTTGTATGTATTTTTTTTCTTATATACAGAACACTGTATCTACTGTAACAGTAGTTTTGTCTCGCAGCAAGTCGTAGCTGTGGTGGTCCCTCTCCCGATCAGGCGTCGTGGCATGTCGCACATGCGACCACGAAACACCCCAGCTGAAACATCTGTTTCACGAACCATGCCTGCCATCGACGGTGAGCTAATGGCCCTCCTCAACAATCGTTTACATCCGACGGCTAATTCTTCATGCGACGCACGGAACGACTAGCAGGTCTTGTGTTCCAGAAGGAGGGAAATCTGACAATGCGACACCCTCTGCTGTTGTTCCAGAAGTGAAGCCTGCCGGGAGTTGGGTGGGAAGTCCTTGTTCCTCGCATTCACATTTGAGGGTCTTTCTTACTACTAGTCCTTCCACATTCTTGTATTGGAAGCCCTAGCACACACTATCAGTAGTAGATCAGGGCAGGGTGTTGTGTCGCTACGACATCCGTGCAGATTTTAACTTCCTCCCGTTACTTCAGCCGCATCCATGGCCGATCAATTGTCCGAGGATCAGATTGCGGAGTTTAAGGAAGCTTTCAGCTTATTCGACAAGGATGGAGATGGTGCGTGCGGGTTTCAGACATTGGAGAAGGATGCTATTTTTGGTCCAGAGTGACGACGGAGCAGAGTACGAACATGGTTTCCTTGTTAAGATCTCCCCTAAGATGTAATGTTTCGCATTTCTCACAGGTAGCATCACAACGAAGGAGCTCGGAACCGTCATGCGTTCGTTGGGACAGAATCCAACTGAGGCTGAGCTTCAAGACATGATCAACGAAGTCGATGCGGATGGTAACGGAACGATCGACTTTCCAGAGGTTTTGAACCTTATGGCGAGGAAAATGAAGGTAAGTGTGTTTCATTATCTTCTGAAAATGCATGATCAGGCTGTAGTGGAAGAAAATATTGACATATGTATCGTTTTCAATGCAGGACACCGATTCTGAGGAGGAATTGAAGGAGGCGTTTAAGGTGTTCGACAAGGACCAAAACGGATTTATCTCGGCGCAGGAGGTGCGTCTATGCTTGATTTCAGGCTTGTTTCGTGTGTTTTCCCCCTTCATTAAAAGCGCGTCGTCATCTCTTGCATGCCTTTTTTGCTTCTGAGCGTGCTTCTCTCTTGACCGTGAACGCCTCTTCATGCTTGCATTTCCATTTCCTTTATTTGCAGCT